CCGGGGAACGCGCTCCCGCGCCCCGCGGGTCGTTTCCTGCAGAACGGGAAGGAGACGGCGTTTGACGTCGCCCTGCTTTGGTTTTCTCCCTTTCAGACTTTGCTTAGAGGAGCATGAGGTCCCTTTCGAGGCCGTCGCCTGGAGGACAGCGGTTTTTATGACAGTATTTTCACTCGCTGTTACCGTTTTGAGGTCATTTGACTGGAGTTTTTACTGCTCCAAAATCAACTCTTTCTCCGGATTTCAGTTTTGGGGGCGAAGATTACGGTAAGCTTTGAAAACTGCTATGCTAGATGCCTGTCTAGTTGAGAAGAGCGTCTTAGGATGTCGGCAGGTGTGATTTGCCTTTTCCCCACCGCGTATACTTTGAAGTGTGTTCAGTTGTACACGGAGGCGTCCAATTAAAGACTGCAGCAAATGATATTTTATATACCCAGGCGTGGAGTTACAGCAGTTAAGTGTAAGTAAACTCAGGCAGCAAATTTTGAGGTTACTTCTTTGAGAGAAACCCGAGAGAAATACCAAGAGAAATCCCGAAGGCGGCTTCGGAGTTCAAATATAGTGACAGGAAAGATGGCATCATACCGTCCTCGCTTTCGGTGACAGAACCGTGGCGGTAACGCGACACGGAGGGACGCGGGGTCTCCCTCCTAGGAAGGCTCTAGGACGGCGACCCTGGGTGGTGTAGACCGGGTGTGACCCTTCCGGAAGCAGGAGACGCTGGGTGCAGGATGGCCGCGGGAGGGGCGTCCCCAGGTCTGCGCTCCCGTGGCCCCCGCAGCAGAGCCCCACTGTATCGGCACTGCTGGGGACCGTCAGGTTCCCGAGTGTCTTTACTGGTGGGTGTTTGATAGCGGTGGTTGCATGGATGGCCTTTGCTTACTGTCTGAGTTTTCCTGGATTTGATTCCTTCTACGTAGGGGTAGCCGTTGGGGAGCTCAGTGTAACTTTTGATGTGGTGCATGTATTTGTAAATAAGGAAGCGAGTTAGTAACCACAGGACTAGATGTGGAGAGGCTAGTTGGAAGACTTGCACAGCAGTTTAAAGAGCGGTGGACAGGTAGGCAAGGTTTCTGCTCTTAGAGAGCAATCTTTTTAGGGGAAGAAGACAGAACTACAGAAACAGTGATAAATACTGGAGAAGTTAAAATGAGGGTGATCGACTGTGGAGCTACATAGGGCTTAAGGGACCACCTGTCTCAGAAGATGACATTTGAATTGAGGAGAATGTCAGGAAGGAGCTAGCTGTGCAGGTATCTAGAAGAGTGTTCTGGCCCTGAGGTGGGGTGGGTTTGGTGTCACAGGAACAGAAAAGCTGGTATGTGGTATTAAGCTAGGAGGTGTGGAAGTTGAAGTGGCTCACTAAAGTTTTCATTAAGGGTACGGTACTGATTTATGTTTAATGGCCCCTTTGGTTGCCACATGGAGAATCAATTGTAGGGTGGCAGGAATGGAAGCTTGGAGACTGGTGAAGAGGTTGGTAGGGTGGTAACAGCAGAGACGGAAATGTGTGGAATGATTCAGGGTGCGTTTTGGGTGCAGGCGTGTTTGCCCTCAGGAATTGGCCTCCTGGATGTGTGCTGTTTGGCGCCTGTGTTTTCATTGACTTTAAGTGTGTTCTAGTGGAGTCCTAGTTTCCAGCTGATGTCGGTTCTTAAGAGTCCTGTGGTCTGGCAGGCATTTGAGTTGGCGATACGTCAGTGTGAGCTGTGCACTGCC